AGCGCCTACTGTGTGCCAGCTGGGAACCTTTTGGCGAGTCCTCTCGCCCACATGCTGAGGTGGGAGAGGGGAGGGGCAGACGTGGGTTTGGGGCCAGGGGGCTGCCACTGAAGGGGCTGGAGGGGACCTCTGAGGAGTGGGGACACGAAGGCTGGGAAGCACTAGCTGTGGTCTGGGTGGGCAGAGGGACAAAGCCCCAGCGCAGAGGAGGGGCACAGACTTGTGAGCTGGGGAATCAGGGGGCAGGGGGCTGCAAAGGGGTCTGTGAGGAGGAGGTGGCCTCAGGGGTTTAGGCGAAGAAGTTGGGTCATGTTTTGGAAGGTCTCTGCCTCCTTCCTTCCCGGCGGCAGCGTGCCACTTTGCCCCCGGGAGGGACAAAGTCCCTAGCGTCATTGAGCACCTGCTGTTTACCCGAGGGCTACTGGCCTCCCCAAAAACCCCTCCAGTGGTAGGGACAAGGGGCTGGATGTGAAAGACGACTTTCCAGACCCTACGCCCCCGCCCCAGGACCTTCAGTCTGAACACCACAGCGAGGGTGCCGGGGGAGGAAGGCGGGCAGCCTGAGCATCCTGTCCCAGGGCTGGACAAGAACGGGGAGCAGGTGTCCAGCCCATGCCAAGGTCTCGGCCACCTCTGGCCCAGCCCAGAGCCCAGGTCTGTGGGCCGCAGGCACAGGAGGTACCATACAGGCCCACCGCAGGCCCTGGCCCCTGGAAACGGGGGCCAACTCTAGCAGCAGGCGCACCCGGCTTTAGAGGAACCAGAGACAAAATAAAAAGCAGCTTGCACTCCCAGACTCTGCCACAATGCTCAAGTGTCTGAGAAGCAGCTTCTGAAGCTTCTGGGGCGTCAGCCATGCTGAAGGGAGACAGTCAGGCAGAAGGAGTTGAAAGCTTTTAAGATGGGTTTTCCCTTTGCCCCAGCAATCCCGCATCTAGGAACTCGTTCACCGCCAGGAAATAAGGAGAGGTCTGCAGGGAGATCCTGGGGCGCAGAGTAACAAGCCAACCCGGTAACTGCCCCAACACCCCACTCTGGGCTGGTTAAAGCCGCGCATCCTGTCCCCTCCCCGCCGTGCCTCCCACAGACCACCCAGGGGGCTCGGAGTTTGGGTGTAAGGATACAATGTTGCTCTAACAGCAGGAGAGGGAAAGCAGTTCAGTGAGGTTGGAGAGGGAGGAATTGGCTCCAGATGACGCCATCAAGAGAAACGTCTGCAGATGTTATTAGTGGAGGAGAGAAAGGGGATCCTGTGTGAACTCATAAACTATGAAACTATACCCACTGGGGGCCCACTGGCACCAGTGTTTGGGATTTGGGCTTTCGGGGATCCCCTCAGGGCGGGCACCGGGGACCTAGGCTCCTGGCTCCTTCCTGCCCTCCCTCCCGGCTGCTCCCAGTCACCACTACTGGGCCAGAGCTCGGGGTGAGGGGCGGCACCAGGGCCCCGCTGGCCTGTTCATCTGAGGACCACGGCAGCCGGGAACCATCGGAGGAGCAGCCGCCTTTGTACCCAGCCAGTGAGGAGAGGGAGTGTGGTGCAGGGTGAGGGGCCGGATGGGAGCTCTGACGCTCTGTGGCTCTGGGAGCAGGTTGGACACGAGCCAGCCAACTCTTGAAGGGGTGATCAAGGTATCACTCTCTGAGCCTCAGTTTCCCCATGTGCTAGACCTTCAAGGCAGAGAGGGGACCTCCTGGGATCTTTGAGGGGCTCTGGCCAGCACAGCTGGGCCTCTGGACAGAGTCTCCTCCCGGGACCCCCACAGGCCACACACACACACAAGCTGAGCAGGAGCTCGCAGCCCCCCTCCCCGTCCTGGGTGACCCGTGGTGTGTGCCTCTGGTCAACACCCTCCCCAGGGCTGGTCCTCCTTCAATCCCACCGCTCAGCCAGGCCTTACTGACCACCAACCCCTGAGGGCCCAGGTCAGGGGCTGCAGGAGAGCAGGACCCAGTGGCTTTGCCATCTAGAGTGGGGCGCCAGTACCACCCCAGGTGCCAGGCGGGGTGCCCCACCCCCAGTTATCAGAATCCGCCAGGGCAGGCAGGGGTCCTGGGGCAGCCCATCTCCTGGGCACAGAGCTGCAAATCCTCTTGCTGCCCGCCCACGGTCCCTCCCTGAGAACAAACACACGTGGCTGGGGGGCAGCACCCTGTGTGGCCTAGGAGCCGGGCACGGAGCCAGGGCTCCCTGCTACATAAGCCCCGGTCCCCAAGGCAGCAGGCAGCTGCCTGACTCCCTCCTGTCTGCCTGCCACTGTGCCGGCCCCAGGATGGGCACCAGGAGCCAGTGCTGGGCCCTGGCCTGGGCCCTGGCGGCCCTGCTCTCGGCACAGCAGGCAGGTAAGGTCAGCAGCCCCCTGCTTCCTCCCGGTCTCTCCTGCTCTCTGGGGTTCAGCTTGGCGGCAGGGGTGCTTGGCCCAGAATGGACAGGCAGACCCCCCCCCCCGCCCTCAACCACATGTTCTTAACGTGGCCCTGGATATCCTGGGACACCACAGACCCTGCTATCCACAAGAACTCCGGCTCTCAGCCTGGCCCTCACCTCATCTGAGCCAGGGCCCCTGCCTGTCCCCCAGGGCTGGTGGAAACATAGATGACAGGAGCCGGCTAGGGGATGTCTGGAGAAGCTGGGGCCCCGGGCTCAGGGACAGGCTCCGCCCAGGTGCTGCCCAGGGAATCTCAGCCTCGGGTAACACAGGAAGGAAGGCCAGGGGAGGGGGCGAGGCTGGGGCCCCATGAGACCCCGTCTCAGAGTGGACGGGTCTGCCCTCCCCAGACAGCCAGGCAGAGTAACAGCGAGTACGTGCCTGCCTTTGGACTGGTCCCTTTGGGCCAGCACCTGCCTCCTTGCTGCATGGACACCGCCTCCACTCCATGGCGGGGGTCAGGGTGGGACAGGTGAGGTGAGCCGCCCCCGGTGCCGTCCTGCCCCGAGGCCCCGCGCCTCACCTGGCGGCCTGGCCCGTAGGCCTGCAGTTTCCCTCCGTCCCCATCTGTCCCCATCTGCCGTCTCCAGCGTCTAGAGGCACTTGGTGACTCAGGGAAGAGGCACTGACACCCGCTGTCAACAGAGAAAGACACAGCCCCAGGGCTGCTGAGCGGCTCCCCGGCACCTGGCCTGCGGCCTCGGCGCCCGCGGCGTCCCTGGGCCCTGCTCTGCTCCTGCCAGCCCTCCTGGGAGCCTCACCCCAGCGGAGGGGTCTGGGCAGGTGGGGCACAAGCCCCAGGAAGGGGGCCAGTGAAGGGGTGTGACTTGTCTCCTCAGAGCCCCTGGTCTAAGCTCCATCAGTCACTTTCTTGGGAGAGAGCAGGGCCAGGAGGTGGGGTACGGGGTAGGGTCCTGCAGCAGCTCCCAGAGCAGAGCTCCAGGGAAGGGCTGGGTTGTGGTCCCCCAGCAGGGCGGCGCGGTTTGGGAAGCCAGTTTGCCCCGCACGGCCGCATCCCGCAGCCACATCTGGGCCCTTCCTGACTATGTGTGGTCTGGGTTCCAGTCACCTGGGAGAGGTTGGCCAGCCCAGGAGACCCAGCCCTACTCGGTCCTCCGCCCTCTGGGTGCAGGATAAATACAGGCCCCACTGGGGGGCTCTGCAAGGCTGGGGATGGCACAGAGGGTGTGCCCGCCCGGGAGGTGTCCTGGGCCTTTCGTCTCTGCTGGGTGCGTTAGGGGGAAAACACCACCCCAGACCGGGGGAGGGGGGATTTGGGAGGCATTACTCAAGGGTCTGCATGGAGCTCGTGTGGGGGGAGCTGGACCAAGGGCAGCAGCCCTGGGGGAGGGAGGGGTGCTGTGCATCTGTAGCCATGCAAACCCCCCCTTTCCCACTGCAGCGTGGGGGGCAGCAAGGGAAGTGGAACCCATGGAGTGGGGGGTGGGTACACAGGCCCCAGGTCACAACTGGGAAAGTCCAACAGGAAGTGGGAACCTGCGGTGGCGGGGGGTGTATGATCCGAGTCCAGGCCTGCAGGAGGGGGTCTGGCTCCAGAGAGGCTTATTCCCCCAGGTCTGGCAGGTGAAAAGCATGGGGCTCACTCAGGGAGCACCAGCCCTGCCCATGCTATGGGGACATCGGTACCCCCAAAAGCACTGGTGTGGGTGGGGCACAGGGACTCTGGTCGGGTGTGAAGAGGGAATTCTGGGAGGCACGGCTGCCTTGTAGAGGGAAGTGCTGCCACCCAGAGCAGGGCAGAGGGGTCTGGAGACGACAGCCTGGTCCCCAAGGGTGGGCAAGGTGGGAAGTAGCCCACCTCCAGAGCCCTGTACCCGCCTCACCCCCAAGCCACAGGCCTTGCCTGGAGGTGATGGACAGGCCTGGTGGCCTGGGGATAGCCCCCAGTGGCCACGTGCTGGGCCAGGGCCAGCCTCCCTTGGCCAAGATGGATAGCTGTGAAGAGGGGTTGGCCTGGGTCTTGGGTTTCTGCTAAGTCATGCCTGTGGGCCCCCCCTTCTGCGTCCTTCTCCCCAACAAAGTGGCCTTTGTCCTTCCCTGAGGGACGCATGGGAGGGGGCTGACCCTCTCTGAAGAGCTGAGGCTCACGGACCAACACCATTTCCTGATTCCACCTTCTTCCCTGACTCGAAGTTGGGGAGGGCGGGGGCCAACGAGCGGCCATGCAGCCCGGACGGGCTCTCTGCCAGAAACCCCCACCCTGGCTAGGCCTTGCTTGCTGTCACGTTGGACACCGGAAGTGTCTGCATTGATGGCCTGGGAGGAGATGTGGCCTCGGGATGACCCCGCAGCGCCCGCAGGCTGCCACCAGGTGCACCTCACTGTGGTCCCTGTGTTGCTCTTCACACACCCCACCCTCTCCCGCAGAGACCCAGGGCACTGAGGAGCCCAGCTGGACCAGAAGGGAGGCCGCCAAGGGTGGTCAGACGGTGAAAAGCGGTACGTGGCCTCTTCGAGTGTGGGGCTTAGGGCTTCTAGCAGGCAGGTGCGGCTGGGGCAGGCATGTAGGGGGAAGGACCTGTTTCCACAGAGCTACAGGTCACACCAAGTCCCTTCCTGGGCCCCTTCTTCGTGGGACAAGGGAGGGGGTGATGGGAAACTTCAAGAAGACCAAGACTCCACAGAGCAGACTCACTCACACATATGTCCACATACATGCATGCACTCACACATACACTCACACACATACATGTACTCACACATACACTCACACACATACATGTACTCACATGTGGTCACACATACACGCACTCACACATACGCTCACGCACATACACTCACACACACACGCATGAACTCACATATGCTCACACACATGCATGCACTCCACACGCTCACACACATGCATGCAGTCACATATACGCTCACACACACACTAACACACGTACATATACTCACATGCGCTCACACACTCACACACACGCACTCAAACTCACATACATGCACTGGCAGATGCTCACGCACACACACACACTCACACACTCGGTGCCATACACATATGCACACTCAAACCCCACACACTCACACACTGACACACATGCACGCACACATGCACGCACACTCGGGACAACATGCAAACCGGAAATCCCAGGCAAGGGCGTGTCTGGGGCAGCAAGGAGGCTCCTGGAGGGGACAAAGGAGGGTCAGGATGGCACCATCCCCAGGCGTGGCCACTGAGGAAGTTAGGGTCCACGAGGGGTGCTCCCAGCTGGCCCCTGGCTGGGCCTCACCCCTGGGTGACCTGGCCCTCACTCTACAGCCCAGTCCATGCCCTCACCCACCCGGCGCTTGACCTTCGTCCCACCCATCACCGTGTCTCCCAGCATAAACCGTAAGTGGACGGCGAGGGGGTAATGAGTCTAAGGGTACAGTCCACAGTGTGAGGCGCTCAGCAGATGGATAGTTTGGGCAGGCCCTGAGGGCCCCCCACAGGCAGTCCTATGGCTGCCAAGTGCCAGGGTGCTAGTGGGCAGTGGGATGGGGGCCAGGCCAGAGTGGGGAGTCTCGGCAGAGATCCAAGGGCAGCTAAGAGGTGGCAGGAGCAGGTGCAGCCAGCACGGAGAGCGTCAGTCACCTGGTTACCCTGCTCCAAGGACAGGGCCCGTCCCCAGGAAGGCTTCCATGCGTAGCTGGGCTGGGGGAGGTGCCGGCAGAAGGGCCCCCTCATGCCCACTCCCCCCAGCCCTGAACCCGGCGCACAACGGGCGAGTCTGCAGCACGTGGGGCGACTTCCACTACAAGACCTTTGACGGCGACATTTTCCGCTTCCCCGGCCTCTGTAACTACGTCTTGGCGTCGCACTGCCGCACCGCCTACGAGGGCTTCAACATCCAGGTGCGTCGTGAGCTGGCGGGCACCAGGCCCACTATCAGCCGCATCATCCTCAAGGTGGAGGGGATGGTGCTGGAGGTGGCCAACGGCTCAGTGCTTGTCGACGGGCAGAGGTGAGCGGCGGAGGGCCAGGCATGACAGGGGGGTCCCGGGACGATACCCTCCAAGGCGGGCAGGCTTGGGGTCCTCGGCGTTCCGGCCGTGGAGGACCAAGCTCTCCTGCCCCAGGAAGGAGCTGCCGTACAGCCGCGCTGGGTTCCTGGTGGAGCACACCAGCAGCTACATCAAGATCAGCGTCCGCATGGTCCTGACCTTCCTCTGGAACGGAGAGGACAGTGCCCTGGTGAGCCCCCACCCCTCACCCGACCAGCTCGGGGACAGGGCCAGAGCCAGGGACTGCCTGCGGTCAGGCGGGAGGCTGAGGCTGCCAGATGGAGGCAGGGTTGCCGCGGAGCCAGAGGCTGTGTGCTGGAGCTGCTCCCCTGCCCCCTCAGCTGGAGCTGGACCCCAAGTACGCCAACCAGACATGTGGCCTGTGCGGGGACTTCAACGGCCTCCCTGTTGCCAATGAGTTCTACGCCCACAGTGAGTGCTCCCCTCCGGGGGCCAACACCTTCCCGACAGTCCCAGAGAGCCCTCGTGGGGGCCGGGCCTTCTGGGACCACAGGCCAGTGGAGCAGGTACCGACACGGGAAGGGGTGAGGCTCCAGAGGGGCTCTTGGGTCCTGGGCAGCCAGCCCAGGGAGTAGCCTCCCCTCCCGGCACTGCTCCTGGCCCCTCAGTGCCCCCCACTCGGGCTCCCCCAGCGTGTCCATCTCCCCACAGACGTCAGGCTGACAGCTCTCCAGTTCGGGAACCTGCAGAAGCTGGATGGGCCCACAGAGCAATGCCAGGACCCACTGCCCACCCTGGCTGACAACTGCACGGATGCTGGGGTAAACGCCCTTCCCAGAGCCCCTGGGGTGTGGGAGAGCTGGACAGCTGGGGGCGTGGCCAGGGGAGCTGGGCTGGGGTCCCTCGTGTCCAGGTGAAGAGGGTCAGGGTCAGGGTCTCCCCACCCTAATGCCCCCAGAGCCAAGCTAAGCTCTGCACCCAGCGGAGAGAAGTTAACAGTGTGTGGGTGAGTGAGTGAGTGGGTGGAAAGGTGGAAGGAAAGATGGAGGGAGGGAGGGAAAGATGGGTGGATGGATGGCTGGATGGGTGGGTGGGTGGA